GAGAGACAGGTGAGAGACAGGTGAGACAGACATGAAGCAGAGAGACAGGTGAGAGACAGACAGGAAGCAGAGAGACAGGTGAGAGACAGACAGGAAGCAGAGAGATATAGTACTTTTGTTTCTCATTTGTCTATGCCGTTTGTGTCTGTGATGTCTTGTTCCACTTGTTCCCAGTGGGTCTTTCTAAACCAGTGGTACCCCTCCAGTCTAAGGTGTGCTTGTTACCTGGCAGGAGGGTCCGGTGTACCCCTGAGGACACGAGCACTCCTCCACCTCCAGAGCTCTCTCGTTCCCTGTGGAGTGAGGGACCGCCACGTCCATCTTGATGTCCGAGATACTGTCACACACACACACACACACACACACACACACACACACACACACACACACACACACACACACACACACACACACACACACACACACACACACACACACACACTTAGTAATCACCCATATTACACATGCATTCTCTATGGAGGGTCAGACTGAAGAGTGTCTCCTACCTGCTCTCTGCCATCAGGTCGGAGTACGAGGCTCGGATCATGAAGACGGAGACGTCGGCCAGCGCCATCAGAAGATGTTCCCGAGTGCAGGGCTGTCCGTCAGCGCGTCGCCATGACGACTGTCGGCGGGGGGGGGGGGGGGTAGAATAAGTTAGACTCACTAAATAAAGTCTCACTGACCAACTGTCTTCCGATTAAACCTGAAGTTCACCAAAGTGTTCTTTCTCATTACTCTCTGCTGTGAGGGTGAGTGGATAATGATAGCTCTCCTCTCTGAAGGTGTGTTACACCTCAGTGTGAGTATGATATAATGCAGCGCACCTCTCTGAAGGTGACGGAGACGCTGCTGGGGGTCCTGGGTTGGGGTCTGGTCTTGGAGAAATGCTCCAGGAAGATGCCGCTGCCCTGCAGCACCACGTCCGGCTGCCCGTCGATGGCCAGAGAGCGCTGAAGAGGCTCGAAGCGAAGTGTGTAACTTAGAGAGCCTCCGTACGCCGTGACCTGGGGGGGGAGACAGAGGGGAGGAGACAGAGGGGGGAGACAGAGGGGAGGAGACAGAGGGGAGGAGACAGAGGGGGGGAGACAGAGAGGTTTAACACCTGTATCATGAAACTATAAAAGCAGCAGAATGTGTTATGTAATAGAAGCTTGGAATGAAGACCAAAGCCAGTCCAGTCAAACTGAACCTTTTTACTTTATATGATCAGAACAGTTTCCAACAAGAACGGTAGTCGACGGGAAAATGCACTCGACATACTCGTATTCATTTCAAATCATAACAGGACAATCAGCTGTTTCGTTTAACCGCTTGATTGACATTAATTAACAAACCTATTCCACTCCACAACCAATATTCAATATTGTACGCATAATTATACAATCAAAGAGTAAATCAACATTTTGGCTCCTATAACCTCTACACAAAAGAAGCATAAAGTGAGTCTCCTCAGGTGACCCCCCCCTCACCTTGTCCCCCCTGAAGCTGGGGGGCAGCAGCCAGTAGTACACGTCGTTGGGGAGACTGCTGAAGGCTCGGTACGAGACCTCCGATCCTCTCTGAGAGATCCCCTCTGTGATGGTGTCAGAGTTCCTGCTGTTAGAGAGGGAGAACTGCTGCTCGGACCCCCGCACCTGAGACAGGGAGCACAGGTACACAGGTCAACACAAAGGTACACAGGTCAACACACAGGTACACAGGTCAACACACAGGTAAACAGGTCAACACAAAGGTACACAGGTAAACACACAGGTAAACAGGTAACACATAGGGTACACAGGTACACACACAGGTAAACACACAGGTAAACACACAGGTAAACAGGTCAACACACAGGTACACAGGTACACACACAGGTACACACACAGGTAAACACACAGGTAAACAGGTAACACATAGGGTACACAGGTACACACACAGGTA